TTTTTTTTTTTTTTTTTTTTCATTACTTTATTTAGTATTTATTAATAAATTATATTTCATTATCATACTAATATTTAAAAAAAAGAAAAAAGAGGTGGTATTTTCCACCGTCCTCATAAAAAAAGTACTTGGGGTGCGCAAAAAAATTTAAAAAAAAGTAGAGGAGCTACGTCCCCCTGCGCACCCCCCAATTCGAGCACTGTTACAAATATATATATACATATACTTACTTAAGATAATTATCTATTAGAATTTATTTACCTTAGGTAAAACGTCATATTTTCTTTATAAAGTTATGCCTATGTGATAAAATAAGTAATTATTCAAAACGACGTGACCATATTTAGAGGTGGTTAAGGGGGTCAAAAATTTTTGGGGGTGAATGTCATTTGATAGTGATAGGACAAAAAATTACTTTATTTTGCTCATTAATATTAATACCCCACGCAAAAATAATAATTGCAGGCCTGAACGTAACATTCAATAAAAGCCAAACAATTTGGTACTGGCAACTACCTAACCTGGCCGTATGTTAAAACCGATAATGGATCGTTATGGTGAACAATGGATAAAGCTAAATGGTTCTCAAATTTTTTAGTAGATATACAGGTAGAAGATTAGTTAGGCGGAAACGATACTTAGTGGAAACGCTACAGTCAATTTTGACGGAAACGATAATCTCCCGATTTCCTAATTTAATTTACCTGTAATTTTTGATTAAAAATTTTACATATAAAAAATGCAAAATAATTGTTAATAATTATTAACAATTAATACTTTAATTAAAATCATATAATTGATATTATTGATTATTATGAAGTTAATTAACTGTTAAATATATTATATTTATATGTTACCAGTCATTTTTAAATTTTTTTCATTTTCTAAAAAATACCTGATATTTTTCCACATTTTTTTCCGTATTTAAATTTTTTCGGAAATTTTCTTTGATTTTATTTAAAATGATTAAAAAAGTAATAGCAGAAGAAAATATATAAATGAATAATAGATTTTTTTTTATTAAAATTAACTATTACAAATATATATTCATTTTTTAATAATATATAAAACATATGTCCTCAAGAAATACTTTATACACCCAAAGAAAAACCTCAATCAAAATTGAAAGAGAAATTTTATCAAGGGTTTATGATAATGTTTTATTAATACGAACAAAATAACTATTCTTATAAATAATTATTGTTCAAGACGAGAAAAAAAAATATCATATTGATAAATATATCATTGATTCAATAGTAATGATATATTTATCAAATTGAACAATGAATTTATTATATAGATCGAGGTTTTTCTCTGGGTGTAGTNAATTGAACAATGAATTTATTATATAGATCGAGGTTTTTTTCTGGGTGTATTAAGTAAAATTTCAAAAATTGACTTAAACTTTAGTCTTATACAACAATTTATAAAAATACAATAAAAACAACATTATATATGTTGAATTATTTTAAAATTTACCTTTTTTTATTATTATTACAAAATAAATAATTATGTAATCAGATACTGTCATAGTTTTTTTAATATATATAATATAAGTGATATTTTTAAATCATAGAAAATAAAAATTTTTGTTTTTAATTGTAGTAGAAATTGATGCAGATGGTAGTTTGTTGGAATCAAGAAAATGTGTTAGATGTTCAAATGGTTCATATCCTTCTGAAGATAGATTAAAATGTTTACCGTGTATATTGCCGAATTGTTCGTGCCCTACATCCACACATGAATTATTATTAGATGGAAACTTATGTGTGCCTAAGTTAAACCTGAGTCAGTGGCCAGATGAAAGTGATACTCATTTTATCGAATTTGATTTAGTTGATATCAAAGTTGAATCTATGTATTTGAAAAAAAAATTACGAGCTCTTTTGCATAAATGTTTAAATGTATTGTATTTTTGTATAAATGTTGAAAATAACAATTCACTTTAATTTCTATGTGAATAATTCCGTTTTAATTAATTATAGACAAGGCATACTGTATCCTGTGAAGCTTTGGGGAATTTGTGTGCGATTCAAATGTATAAAGATGAAAGCAAAGTCAGTGCATGTCGAATATTTTCTGATTACAGAAGAATACCAACTTCCTTAGATACTGACCGTTTACCTTTACCATGGATTTATTATGGAGAAGGAGATGCATTTTTAGTATTGAATAAGAAGAAAATCGGGTCTAAGTATAGCATTAGACCTGGTAGAGTCGTAAGTATTAAATTGTACAGTCATACTGTCAATTTACTATAAAATAAGGCCAGTATAATATGTAAAATAATATACATATAATAATATGTAAAACTTTTAAACAATTTTTAGCTTAGATACGAAGCAGAGAAAGTATTAATTTTAAAATTTTTCAATGTTTTTTACTTAAAACTAGCTTAGCTTTTTTAAAAATGATCAAATTGAAACAATATAATTTTTTTTTATAGATACAAAAGGTATTTATCTATTATTTTGAATTTTTTTTATATAAATCTGACCCTTTACCTGCCCACAAGGGGATTCAAAATGACAACTTTTTCAAACATAACATTTGAAAGTGTTCCGGAAATACTGCCACTTTTATATATATTAAAATAAAGCTAATTTAATATATAAAAAAAAATTTCAAATTATTATTTTGTTTGTATGGTGAAAACGGACATCAAATTTGAAAAAAATTATACGATTTTTGTAAAAAAAATTCCTTTTTATATTTTTAACTTTATAATGCTTTAATACTTTTAGAAAAATATATGGATCATTATAACTTTTTTATGATAATTACTATTTATATACCTTTTTTATTCGACTTTTTTTTTATTCGGACGATTTCCCTGAATGAAGGGGTGGGGGGTCAAAACTTAAAACTGCGTATAGAAGGTAGAAATTTTTTAATTAAAATATATTTATTGATTGTTCATACGTAACCTAATAATCAAACATAAATAATTGTTATATTGATTAAAAGTATTTTGTTATTATTTAAGCCATATGCCAAACTAAAATATATAAAATCAGATATAAAATCGGTGCAAAAATGGGTTTAGAAAAGTATTTTTTGGTCTCTAATGAAAATTTCTTGTAGATCAGTATATTTATTTATAAATAACAAACAATTTATTTTTTTAATTATTGCATCAGGACCTTTAACTTTTAAATACGTTTGCCATAAAAGTAATAACTACTTTATAATTTTTTATAATTTCTCCGTAAAAATTACAGTACTAAATTATTAAATATCAATTTAATCCTATAATAAATATTCATTCATATATTACACTTATAAATAATGAAATTTGTAATCAGGATATAAACAAGGAAATACAAGATCATGTTGCTTTTGGAATAATCCACCAATTTTTTAAAATTAAACACTATCTAAAGATATGCATAGAATAGTTTTTTATGATTTTTAATCATTATCTGATTTTAATTCATTGTTAGATAATATACTAGACCCAACTATGCAACGTCTCCCTAGTGCTGGGTTTTTTTTATTTCTGTATAATGGATTATGTACAATTTTTTTTTTAACAATAAAACTAAAAAGTGTGATGTAACTTATAAAATATTACTTTTCCATGATAAAAAAAGTGTTTATTCAATTTTTCAATTATACAAATATAATTAACTACTTATTATGCTGATTTTTAAATTTTTCTTTAAAGAAATATTAAATTTAATATTGGTAATTATCAATATGAAGTTTAATATATTTATGAATAAGAGTATTTGAAATGGATAAAAATCTTATCTCACTTTTATAATGTTTGATTTTATTTTAAATTAAACAATTATTTGCGAAACTTTAATAACTCCAGGAGTTATTGGACATTAAAGCCAAATTAAAAATTTCCGAGTTTGTAATTCTTTGTATAATAATGGGATACTTGCCTCATTCTTAATTATTTTAAATTAAAAAGTTTGTTTAATGTAATGTATGTCTGAAAAAAGAAAAAGGTTTTTGGTGGCTTGTCCTCTATAAGTAATCGACTTTTTTTATTTTTTATTATGTAATATAATAATTAAATTTGTATGTTGTCATTTAAATTAAAAATTATTTTTTAGACCAATAATTTATTAAGAATAATGCTAAAAATAATTAGTAACTAAAAAATCATTAAATGTATGTTTCTAACTAATTTTTTTTTTAATTTAATGAGTAATTGAGTGGGCTATAATAAAGGGATCACTCTGTATAGAAAAATTATGTTCAGAACAATTTGTTTGTGAGTAAAGAAATCTCATTTTATCCGATTTTGAGATACGTATTGTTGCAGTATAAATGCCATGTTTTGACTTTACAGATAAAATCGTATATATTGAATATATTTAGTTATATCTCATATATTTCGAGGACATGTTAACTTCTCATATTATAACGCTTTCTTGTTATTTCATTAATATATTTATGACTTATATGATTTCATATTACATTTTATACTATTGTGGAATGTAAAAAATATATTGTATCTATTAATTTCAAATAACTCTATTAAAATTTAAATATTTCTATGACTTAATAAATTTTAAACATTTCATAAACTCAAACTGTATGAAAATTTACATTACTGTAGTTAATAGTCAAGCTTTAATGCCTTTAAATAATAAAAAAATTGTTTCAGAAGATAAAATACTGTAAATGATACTTCATCCTACGTTTAATTTAGTTCTCCATTTTAAACAGAAGATTTTTAAATAATAATGAGTAATAATAAAACTAAATGACATTAAGCAATAATACACTAAAAATAATATTGAAGTGTCTTGAAAATTAGACAAATAATATTTACAAAGGCAATAATAATTTTTGATTCATTATTTAAAATGAACACATTTTTTAGAAATAAAGATAAAAAAATTTCAGGATTATAGAATAATTTTTTTCTACTTATATTATTGGTTATACTCAATATAAGTTTAAAATATTTTGGTTGAATTTCCTAGAATTAAATACATTAGCATATATGTAATATAGAAAAATTGAAAAAATAATCATTTACAGACAATGTAGTTCATTTAACACATTGAACTGTTTCTTGAGTGTTCAATGTTATAAATTTATTTGGGTTTTTCAGAATAGCAATTTAAAATTAGTTGCATCCAGGTACTACTTAAATGGAACACTTATTAGCGTTTCCGAATTGTTTCCCTCTGAACTTCAGTTATGTCCAGGACTATGGAATGGAATTGACTCAACATTTCGTTTTGGTGCTCGGTATTACCGTACGTGTAATGTACCAGCCAAACAACTTATTAGTTTAGAACCTCAAGAACCAATTTTTTATGATTTATTTTTGGAATTCGATGATGGAAATAAAAAAATGTTATACTCAATCCCATTATTGGTTAGAAATATTAAAGTAGGAACAATTTATCCTAACACGGTAAGTGCACTTTGTGTCATCACTTCAATAATTCAATAAATACAAATATAATTATTTAAAAAAAAATTTCAATTATTTTAATTTTTAAAAATTCTTCTTTTTATATAATTAGTAAAATTGTACTATTTATTTTGATTGATTAAAAGATATTTTCATACATAATATTTCATATAAATAAAATATTATTTTTAGGGAAGAGATATTTCGCAATGGTTGCTGACTAGACGTATGTTTTTGGTAGATAAGTTAAGTGGAATTCCTGTTAAGACACAGGAAATTCCATTGGTTATTCAGTATCTAAAGTCCGCAAAACTAGTGTAAGTTGGAAATAATATCATTATTTATAAAATAAAAATAAAATCCATAAAAACTATTAACTTGTTAAAATTTATAGGGTCCAAGCTCAGCGTGAAACTGAAAATGAAGGCAATATCTATCCGCCCTTTATGGTGTTAGAATACGGTCAAATAACTAACGAAAATATATCACTGAACGTGCCATTCTCAGTGACATTCGAAGTCGAGTTTTACATGGAAAACGATGCACTTCATTACATTGATGTAAAATCCTCTGACGTTTTCGTTTAAGAAGTTCAGGATATTAACTTTTTTTTTCTTTAGATGACTTTGGGTATTCTCAGTGGATGCGTTTTTATATGGAGTTGCATACACACTTGGAGCGAATCAAAACGGTGTGGGCGAATGGCAATTGACTTGTGGACTGTAGGACAATTTTTAATTACTTGCTGTTCACATTTTGCTAATGTGATATTTGCTGTTTGCATATTGTTGGCATTTTACACATTACTATTTTATAAAGGGCAGAGTGTTGTTTATATCTTGTTACCATCACAGGAACTTGAACATATCGTCGAAAAATATGTTGTTATTGCGTTTCTATTAAAGGTATCAAAACTTTATGAAATATTGATTAAAGATTTCTATATCTGTAGAATTCTGTAGCTAGTATTTGTCAATTAAATCTGAGTTGGTATAATAAGCTAGGTAATATAATTTATTGTTTTTAGTTTTCAAAGGTTGTCACATATTATTTATTTTATACTTAATATGTCACTATCAATATACACTCTAAGTAAATATTTTCAATATTGAAAATTTAAAATTCTCTAGTTATTTCAATTATTATTGGTGGACATTATTTGAATATAAAATAAATTTAAAAAATCTAAATAATCATATAAAATTTTGAATTTAGCATTCTGAAGCTTTTTATACTTTGATTTTTAACTTTTATTCATTTTACAGTTTATTTTCAAAATACTTTTAAAGTTTAAAACAGTTTGTTAAAAAATGTTATTTTCATCTGTCTTATCAGCGCGGATAAATATTAAAAAGATTCTACATTGAAACCTTATGCACTTATAATTTTGTAAGTTATTTTTTAATTATATTATGAATAAATATAACATTTTAGATTATTGAAATTATACGTTTAATTTGGACTCAAACAAGTATCGATATTTTCCTAGTTGATTGGGAGAAACCCCGTTTAGTATTTAGTCAAAAAATAAACAGCACAACATCTTCTCAAAAACAAACAGTCAGTATTTGGAGGAGTTACTTTGTAGCTAATGAATGGGCAGAAATTCAGACAAAAAGAAAAATCAGTCAACCTGTACAGTTGTTGCTTACTATACTTTTACTAAAGGTATTTCTGAAAATAATACTTTTATATTTTGTTGATAAGAATTTATTAAATCATAATCATTTTTTCTAGGTGAATGGGTTTGAGAATTGGGCTACGGCAGAACCCGAAGTTCATTTATTTCAAACCCCGTATAGACCGACTAGTCGGATATTATCCTTAGGAATGTTAGTTTTTATCTTTAGTGCTATTTATTCCATACAGGTAAAAAAAAGTAAAATACAAAAATAATGAAAAATTTTATAACATAAAATTATGTATCATTTTGTAGGAAATTAAAAAAATAATTGTTAAAACTAATTGTTGTATGTAATTTTTCATAGTTATACCTCTGGTATTTTGATATAATTAGTTCAAAGGAGTATCAAACGGGCATAAGTGCAACTGTCATAAAATTTTAAGAGGTTTAAATTAACTTTTTCCAAACTAATATATATATATATTGTTTTTATGCATAAATTAATATAATTGTCTAAGTTTGAGGGTCTAAGCCTTTTTTGATCTGCCAGTATCTATATAAGTATTAATGGAGGTTAAAATTTTCCAAGGTAAAAATTATGTCACACATGCATTTTTATTTTGAATGATTGAAGTAGTAGAATATCCGTGCAGGTAAACCGACTACCCTTTTTCAGGCACAGCTTTAGGTATCAGCCCCATAATATGTTTTATTATCAAATAATAATCAAAAAGCGTCTCAAGATACCGAACCTTGGTAATACTGGTTCTAAATTATAATAATTATATTCGAGCCTGGGTACGTCTCTGATTAAAAATTTTTGGAGGAGAAACACTACAGAAATTATATGGACTTCCCAGACAACATTATCATTTTGATAAAAGCGTTGGCGGTAGAGAATTACATTGTGACAATTTCAAAACTTCTTTCTCGTTATATTAAGTACCTACCGTGAAAATTTAGTCAAAAGAATTCGTTTGGTTTGCTTTCTTACTTTGGTCTTTCCTTGTATAAAGGATCATTTTTAAAAATTTAAAAACAAGTTTCTTTTTCATATATTTTTTTAAATTTTATTTAAACTGTTGTAACAATAGTTGTGTAGATACAGAATTTGAATACAGCCATAATTTGAATTAATTAGGTGTTCAATATTTTAAAATAATGAATTTTTCATATATTTTTTCTTTACAATTCACTAGTAATCTATAATAATGGTCAATGATCTTTTATAAACATGTACAAGTACCTAAGTATAAGTAATTCTGATAAACATTGAATTTCGTAATTAAGTGTAGATGTATCGAGTTGATAGTTTACCCTCTGTTATTAATATTAATGAAATATATAACAGAAATCGTCAATGATTACACACAATTACTAAAGATTATCAATAATTATTAGTGATTGCCTACGATTTTTAAAAATCTGTACAGTGATTATTATTATTAATAGTTTGTGTCTTTGAATTTATATTAATCATTTAAATTTAGAAATTAAATCACACTCTTTTGCATTAACCATGCTTAAATTTAAGTCATTGAATGTTAGTTATGATGTGATGAAACATTCTTGATGTAGGTTTAATAATTTAATTGAATTGTGCCTGCAAAGGAAAGGTCTTTTAGAATTGTATATAAATATATGTTAGCGTTTTTTAACCCATACTTAGAACGTTTAACCCGTTTCATGTAATATATTTTTTGTAATTCATTTAAATACTAATGACTTTCACACTCAAATACAGAAAAAAGTTACTTTAGAAAAGCAATATTGTTAAGATTTGAAAATTGTATAAATTAAGCTTCAATTGAAATTTTGAAAATCTTTGTATTAAAAATAGTCAGTATGAATAGATTTTTGCCAGTGGTTTAAAAGTATTAAGTTTTTATGAAAAATTGGAAATAACATAAAATTGATCAATATTATTTAATTAAAACTATTTAGTGCCAGTTTTTAGGAGTTAGTAACAATCAATCAGATAGTAGCATCCTTTAACTTTTTTTGTAATATGACATCGTGAAAAAAATAAATGCAACCCGATTTGTCTTATTTATTTAAAATTAAAAATATATTTAAGATATCAATTTAAAAATATAACATATTAATTATTTTGAATTCAAAAAACCACAATTTTTTTTTTTTGAATTAATAAATTTATAAAGTACATTAATTTAAGATTGTTTGGAGTTCCAAAACATTTTATTTAAAATGAGCTGGGCTATAATACAGTGATTTATAGATATAACGAGATATTCATTCTTACTTAAAACTTCAGATGATTTTTTCAATTTACATTTAAATGATACAATTAAAGTGTAGATATTTCTTATAGAAAATATGTTATGATCATTGACATTTTGAAATCAAAATTTCTGAGTATACTCAACAAATCTATAGAAATATTAATAAAATATTTTTAGTGTGGTGGTCAAACTAGTTGTTGACGAAATTCTAGTGTTAAGCCGCGCTTTACGCTGTATTTGAATGGATGGGTGACCATATGTGCGCTTCTGTGGTAGCGAAGAGTACCATGTTCCCAGTATAGAAGGCAACGGGAAACTACTGCACTTTAATTTCCCCAGGATTTACCAATCTAATTGGTATTAACCAACCTTGTAATAAGAAAAAAATACTTAAAGAGTCTATAGAAATGTTAACAAAATATTTTTTTAAATATTACTAAGATTTGTTTATAATATTGACAAGAAAATTGTTCAAAAAAAAAGATTTTATAGCAGCTAACGTAATAGAAAGCATTGTAGCATTATACTAATTACAAGTATTGTGAAATGTAATATATAAATAGAAAATAATTTAATTTAATTACCTATTAAATATATAATTAATCTATTATGTTTTTATTTTAGTGGTTGATAACTGTGGGAATTTATGAAAGGTACATAAAAAACTGTATTCAACAATTTGTGGATATTTGTTCTTTAACTAACGTCAGTGTATTTATATTATCTGCTGAATATTTTGGCCATTACATTCATGGCAGGTAGAATAAAACCATTCGTTTGGATAGTTACAATAAAAATAAAATAATTCTGAAAATGTATAGGTCAACTCATGGTTTTTCTGACACTGACATGGAAAGTTTAATTGGACAATTACAAAGAGAAGAGGACAATATGGTTAGACATAGAGGCCTAGTACCTGGTACAGAGAATCAAACGTTTGAAATGACCATTCCGTCGTCTTTGAGGACTTACTACCGCCGAGTAATGGCTCCGTTAAACAATGTATGGTTTATATTAAGAAAATTCGAAAACTAATCAATTACTAATTAAATTATTTTAATTTTCTTGAAATTAAGTTCCATTATGTCCATTAGAAAGCTAGTGAATTATAATTACAATATCCGTTAGAGTGTTAATTGTTTGTATTTATTTTTTAACTTTTAGTAAATAGTATATTAGTAAGCAAGTTGTTATTAAAAGTTCTCCGCAATTAAATAATTTTAATTATAATCAAACAGCTAAGATTACATGAAACCGTTAGAGTTATTTATGTTAAATAGAAAATCATCCTTAAAAGAGCTTCTAGCTTAATGTAAAATATAAATGTATAAATTTAAATAATCTTTACATTAATTAGGAATAACTTTATATACTATTGCTATGTAAATGTCGCTAATTGTCAATTGTTTTAATAATTTTTTTATTAAACTTTGAGTTCTTTTCCAGTTTCAATCTAATCAACTATCGGGATCATCATTTAGAATAAAAAAAGTGGACAAAACGGATATGGCAAGAATTGGACAAGCGTACAATAACATGAATAAATTTCTTGCGGCTTTTTTGGATCACGTGAGTGAAAGAAAATATTTTCAAACTAAAGCTTACAGTTACATTTATTATTAATCACCATTCTCAGGCTCTAAAAGATTTGGACTATGAAATTCGTGAAAAGACTTTTGTGGAAAAACTTTTGGGAATCGAATACTCAGACCCTTCGGACAAAGGAGTTTTTTTTATAGGTAAAAATAGAATCGAATCTTGCTTTTTGGACGACAGTAATACAAGTACCTAATAAATTTTCTTTCGTGTACTTTAGACGACGGGCATTCGTTCGACAAAGTCATTTTTTATGGGAATGAATGCACTCTAGTAATATTTGATATAATGATGTTGACATCATTTTATGTTATCACGGGTAACATAATACTTGCTAGTATGCTTACAGCGTTTGTAGCCAAGGTATAATAAAATATTTTACACTCATTTTTATTTATACTTGGAATTCTATACAACCTAATTTTATATTAATATGTTACTTTTTAAAATTGATTTATTGATATGGTTATTCTAAACACCATATGGGCCAGATAATAAATTTTAGATTTATTATATTTGAATATGTCATACATGTGTCACATTTAAGAGTGAAAAATTAAAACAAGAGTTAGTACTAAAGTAGTTTAAAAATAAAAACACAAAAAAGATAAAATTTTGAAATTGCTTATTGAATATGTATTGTATTTAAATGGTTTTGAGTCAACTCAATTAGTTTAAAAAACGCATTTGTACATCAAGATGTAAAATAAATGTTAGTCATTACTATTTGACATTTTAATACTTCTTTATAAGTATATAGTTTCAATCTTTACTAAGAGAGCGAGAAAGAAAATTAAATTATTACTATTTACAAATTACGTACAAAATAGCTTTCTGTAAAAATTTTTGTAACCAGCTTGAATTGAAATTTCGATAAATTAATTAATTTATTTAAAATATTTAAAAAAAAAGTTTTACTCGATTGAATTAAAATCTGATATTTATTATTAGTACGTTTTTGTATCGATTATGTAATAATTTTACTTCTTTTTTTTATATCAACGTTATATATCTATAATAAATAATAATATGTTTTTTCTTTAGGTATTGTGTATTATCCGGGCACAACTTGGAAAAACAAATTTAGCTAAAAAAACCCTAATCGATGAAAGATTTTTGATTTGATAGATTAAAATTTTATTTTTCGTGTCTATATAAAATGTTAAGTTTATTTTAAGCTATATATATTTTTTTTAAGTCCTTACATTCAAATAATAATAATAATATTATTATTAATATTATTTTCATCATATTGAATTTAACTTTTTAATATAAATGTTTATTGATTTTTATTTTATAAACAAATTTATTGTTTATAATTTCTATAAGATTTAAAATTAATTTATAGTATATTTTACTGTTAATATTTTATTAAAAATAAAAATAATATAGCTAAAGTATTTTTTTTACTTATCATGGAAAAATAAATACATACTTACTTAAAATTTATGATGACCATATTGATGAAAATTAAAAAAATGAGTTTTATTTCTCTAATTTTTAAATTAATTGCACACATTTTTTTTCAGTAACTTAACTAAATACTTAATGAGACTTGGTATTTAAAAAAACCAATAGGTTTATTGTTTAAATTAAAAAGAGTATTTAAGGTAATAAGCTTAATTTAACAAAATAATACTTTAGTAACTTTCTAATAGTAAATGTTAGACTATAAGTATAAAGATTTAAGAATTTCTAGTTTTTCCCCGTTATAATATCAAAAAAATCGAGAAAACAATTTGAAATTGTAAAATAGATGGAGTATTAAAAAAAAAATTTTGCTGTAAACGAATCAGCATCATTTAAATGGCACTTAATTACTTTTTAGATTTACATATTAAAATGGTTGTAAGGTATAATTGTGAATTTAGTTCTTAAAAAAGTAATCCACTTACAGTTTTTCTAGTTCACAAGTGAATTAAAAATATAATATAAATAATTTACAACACAAGTGAGTTAAAGTGTCAACACAAAATCATCAAGTACTTAACCGTATTTAAACATTCTCATATTTATTCAATTGAATAAGAATGAGAATGTTCAAATAAATTGGCATAGCGATTTTGTTACATCGAGCTAAAATTGACTAAAAAACAATTAAGCGACAGTCAATGTTATGGTGTACTGTACTTATTAGCTGGTCAAATTCTCATTTTCACTTTTTAAAACTAATTAATAAAATAATAGAAAAAGGTAGATTGCTGATGATGTCACTTTATTTAAAATGTCAACTTATTAGGTTTTTTATTCTTAGTACAGCTAAAACAATAAAATGTGCGTGTTACCGTACTATTGATAATACACTTAAAAAATTATGCAAGGCGGTTTCTTAAGCATTACTTAATTTTATCGTTCATGATTTTATCTTAAAAAGGTCTTAGGTAAAATATGTTTTAAAATCATGAAATACAAAAAATTATTTTGATGGTATATTTTTACTTTTTAATGGTAGCAACATTTAAATAACTACAAGAACATATTTATTTAAACACACACGTCACTGACCCAAATAAGTAATAAAATATAGTTTGTCATATAAAAATTTACTTGATGCATTTATAAAATATTACATTTTTGCAAAGTTAAGAAGTGAATTATATATTTTTTAAGTTCAAATTAAAGTTTTTGTAAGTACTTTCAATACATAAAAAAGTTTTTTTCGAAATAATGTATAAAATATATTTTGTACAAAGAAATTGTTACATAATTCTTGAGACATGTGTTCAAATTTCGTTTATCATTCATACTATAATAGATTATATCACTAGGCTTTACCGGTTCAGTTTTAAAATATCTTGCTTATATTAAATTTAACATTTTATTAATTATATTAATGAATAATTTCCTTTTGTTGAAAAATATGAAAACCTCGTTAGTTTTTAATTTTGTTTATACAGTGTCTTTGATTTAACAGACAACGCTTAATTAATCACTAAAAAAAAATAAATGAAATGTCATTTTTTTCTTAAATTTTAAATTTCAATTTTTTTAGCTCAAATAATATATGATGGATTGATAACGATTTTAAGACAAGTACTCATTGAGTTACAAGTATTTTAATACATAGAGTGAGCATCGAATGCGTGCACAGTATAAATACATAAGTGGAAGCTGCACTCGCCCACACTATATAATACTTTATGTAATAAAATTCTAGTAACTCAGTAATTGCGTCCTAAAATTGTTATCAACCCTTACATTTTTTTGTAAGAAAAGTGCTAAAAAAAGCTATTTATTAGTTCTAATAAGAAAGAACAATTTATCACATGATTAATTGTAAATAATAAACTTTGAATGTAGTAAGTAGACAATAATTATTAAAAAAAAATGTTAACGAGATATGATAATTGAATCAAAAGTTTTAAGCATTGTCAATTATACTCGAGACAACCTGCATAATTTATTGAAGTTTTAAAGCTAAACAAACTTGCGATAAAACTTAAAAATTACTTTTATTTCTTTTTTCAAACCTAGTGATGTTAAAAATACACGAAAGTCATTGTATGTAGCTAAATAAATGATATGTGTTAATTATATTCAAAAGTCTCGATTACAAATCTAACTTATGTTTTCATCGTCTATTATTATTGGCAACCTCGATTAAAGATATCGCGTGGTTTAGCATATAATATTAAAGTGATCACCTTATATAGTCATAATTTAAGTTATATATTTTATGCTATGCTTTAAGGAAAAAATCTGATATCCGAAAGCTATAGATTTCCTCTAGTCAAGCTTGTTGATTGGTTTTGTTAAAATCATTTAACTCTGTTTATTTATAAAATATATTTTATTATGTTTTAAAAAACTGTTAAAATATTATTTTAAAGAGGATTTATTTTCTCAACTGATAAAAAAATTATCCTTATGTACAAACAAAATTCTTATTTATTTAAGATATGCAATATGTTGTCATGATATTTAGGTACATAAAAAAACACAATAAATTAAATTACAATTAATTTTGGTCCATAAAAAAATGTTTTCAGTCAAATTAAATACTAAATAAATTCTCACTGGATTTTACACCTCTAAGAGCAGCCAAAAAATTCTTATACAGCCTTGTAACACTGTATTTTTTTCTTTTACTATTATACATTCTTTCTCTGAGCGGGTTTAGTTTGATTTGGGCTAAAATACCAACTAACAGCTTATCTACATTGTGATCAATACCGCCTGACGTTTCAATAAATTTGCAATTCCAACTGAACGCCAAACTTCGACCAACTAAAAAAGTAGAAAATCTTATTTGTACAGTTTTTTTTTTAATTCAGTTGAAAATTCATAAAAAATAATTTTTAACAAAAATATGCGATAAAGTATACCCTCAACTTATTTTTTAAAGTTATTATTTTTAAATGAATTAACCAACCATTTCTCTTTATTCAATGAATGAATTTAAAAATAACAATAACTCTGCAAGGTTGACCTGTAATGATTCGACGTAGAATTTTTTGAACAAAAAAAAAGTTATAAAATAATTAACTATCTCTATAAAAGTTAAATTTACTAACTTGTGAATTTGAATGTTTTTTTTTTAAATTAATTGTAAATAAGTTTATTTGACTTTATTTAAGTTTATTGTTTATGTGATGTATATAAAGATATTATGTAGTTCTAGTTTATGTGAGAAAATAATTTACATATGGGATAGAGTGACGGGAAACGAATTAAATTTTAATCCATTTTTACTAACGAATGGATTATTAAGGCTACGAATTGGTATTAGAGATATGATTTATCAACGTAAAAAGTAATTATGTTCTATGAAAGAGTTACCATTAGTCTGAATTCTTCGTGTCCTTTCTAAATCGGATTTGTTTCCGACCAAAATTACTCCTTTTGTGTGAATGTATTCTCCTTTCCATAAAAACAGCAACATTTGTTCGGCAATATCAAAGCTTCTCTCATCTACTATAGAATACATTACTATAAACACATTTGGATTGTAAGTAGAGCACAGAGTTTCAATCTGAAACAGTAAGTACATAAAGGCCGATATTGTAATGATAGTATTGTGATATGTGATTCGGGAATCATTAAATTAAATTTTATCGTGTGTACAGTATAGTTGTTATACAGTTCTCTTAAGATGTTGTTGACTTAGAAGTGATAGTCGGTGAGGATATGTTTATTTATAGCTCTTCTCAGCGTACAACACTTAATGAACAAGAAAAAATACAGAACTACAATTATCAACAGATATATATTATCATATATATTAAAAAGTATTTTATTAAGTAAATGAAAGAATAACAACATATACTAAAATATATGCGAATGAAAGTTTTTTTCTGTATCAAAAACAAGGAAAGTAGTTGTCGAAAAAAGTAAGTTAGCCTTTAAGTAAAGGCTAACTAAGTTAGGCACTTTTTTTATTATTATCTCAGAAAAGCTTTAAAATTTTACACGTTTTCCTATTCTTCTCGGTATTTAATATAACTGTAAAGAATTACGAGTTAAAGTTCTATTGAATACAATATTCAATGGCGGTATGATAAAAATAGTGAATAGCAATAAAAGAGAGAGAGAATAAATAGGACTTAAATGTTCATCTCAACTTTTCAAGCTTAAGACATTATGAAAAAGAAAATGAAAAATGTGAATGTGATGTGAAAAGAAATAGAAGTTATTTTGATGGTTGATAATTTGAGAGTATACTTAAACCAAGATGGTTTTGAAATGTTATGAGGGATAAGATTGAAGCACAATGATTACTTATGTAAATTAATATACAAATATAAAGTTGGATTAAAGGAAGGAGAACATATTTAAGTGCTTGAATGTTATTAATATGACACGAGTACGGCTTCTGATATTTTGTTGATCATACAAAATAACATTAAGGACAAAGAGGAACTACATATAACAAATATATAAATCGATAACTACTTATTTTTGTCTAGCTCATTAAATACCAATTATATCATACTTGACGAGGAAGCGCATTAACTCATATTTACTTTAAGAAGGATATTTTATCGAATACTAGAGATAATTTTAATTAAAGAATATAAAATGAATGTATAATATATGGTTTATAGATTAGTTTAGATGATATAACATTTATATGTAAATACATGTAAGCAAAGTTATTCAACATATTTAATATGTAGTAATTTTACTAAATAGCTTCGCTTTGTCAAAATATGAATAATTTTGTTGTTTTATAGTTTATACAGTTTTGTTATGGTGCAATAAGTGTCTTATAGATAATTTTACAAATATTAGGTTGAAATATTTTTTTTAAATAATTAAACAATCTTTATTTTATTATTATAATAGAATAAGGAAAAAACGCTTTTCTGGGAAAATTACTTAGCGTTCTCCAATTTTCAAAATTTTTTTTCAATGATCGTTATTGGGTCACATGACTTTGGAAAATTATTGACGAATGTCTAAAAATTTTTGCGTTTGTCAGCGAGTGTCTTAAAATTTTCACCAAACACACCGAAAGAGTTTATGTATTAAATATACAGAACTTTTCTATAAATTTCTTTTAAATAAGTTTATAATTCAAAATTGTTTTAATATATTTATTGATATATATTTGTTTGAACTTATGCATTATCATCAACTTACTGTCCAAAATCACTTTGATTTTTAGCAAATAATTTTCTGTAGCATGTTTACTAAACTAAAAAAAATTAAATACCCTCTTAAAATGATTTCTGAATACGCCCCTGGTAAATATCTTAGTAAAAAAAAAATCAACCTTATACTCAATATATTTTACTATATTCTCTTCTTGAATTTTACTGATTTTAATCATTAAATTTTTAATATATTTTTGTTACACTGACTCTGATGTAATATTTTTTTTGCAAAACACTTATCACGCCCAACGCACTTCTACCAAAATCAGTGGCCTACTTATAAGGACTGCCCAATGAGGATTTACATCAAAGTCATGTGAGGCTTGTAAGGTTTAGGGTCTGGGACGAAGCCTTAGCTAAGGGGAGCCTAATTTATATATAATTTAACGATTTCAATACGTCAAATTTACCAATATATTTCTATTTAAGAGTTATTGAACTCTTTAAGAAAAAAATATTTTTACGTTATACACGATAACTTTGAATGACGTTATAAATAAAACAATATAATCCTCTTTCACCGTATTAATTTCTAAACCTACATTTCGAAACAATTTAATGATTTTTTAAATAATAAATAGTTATAAGTTATTTTATATGATTTTATTAGTGCTATAAATAATGTTCTAAGTTTATACAGAGTTCTTTTAGAATTGATAATAAAACTTAGTACAGTAATCTTTAGTTAATGAAAATTCTATTGTATTAAGTTTCGTAATAAATATCTCTAATTATAAACTTTAATGACTATGTACTAATGAGTGTATTAATATACTGGACAAATTTAAACAGACCAACTGTTTTGCTATAAAACATAATGGCATACATATAAACTATTTGTAGTAAGTAATAATAGTAAGTAATAAAATTGTAACTTACCGACATTTCTTTGTAAGGTATGTCAATAATAGTTAATTCAGCCTCTTGCCCGTTTATCATTACTCTTATGGTCCTACAGGCACAATCTTCATCTGAGATATGAAAAAATTATTAATGAGTTTATACATAACACATGTATAATACATATTTCAGAATGTTAACACTCTTTGTTCTCTAATTATGAGTATTAATAAATTAAAATAGTATTTTATGATAAAATGCTACGTTGTTCAAATCAAAATTCCTACTTTTATATTTGAGTTTTAGAAATTTTAAAAGAATAGTAATATGTTTAATAGCATTTATACACAAAAAAAAATAAACGATTATACATTGAATTTTGTAGCAAAATTCAATGTAATTAAATCATATCAAAATAAATACATAAAAATAGATTATTCGATATTTGACTTCATAAAGCAATTATTTTTTTATAATTAGTATGTACACAAAATCACATTCCATAATACTGTACTATTGAAAAACATTCATTGAAATAAAAACAAATCATTTTTACGTTTAAAGTAAATACATTAATAATTAAAAAATTCAAATATCATTAAATTGTGCGTGTAGAATAGAATTAAAAAAAAAGCCTGGGATCACTGTTCTTAATTAATCATTTTTAGGAAAAATTACAATGGTTTAGCTGAATTTTAACTAGAATCATATATTAAAATATATTAAGCATACCAATTGATGTGTCGTACACACATATGTATTCAGATGTAGAGAACTGGACGGATATGGTAGTTTTACCAACACCAGGTGCACCGAGCAACGCAACTTTGTATGATTCAACAGTATCATTTGCTTTGAATTTACTAATTAGTGCAGTGCTATAATAATAAAAACACATTTTCAAGTTTTTACAATATTTTTATATTTTATTCAAAAGTTCTCAGCCAATTAAAATTATAATATATAAGTTGCTAATTATACTATTGGGTAAGCTAGAGGTTTGCTAAAATATACATTCTTAGAATTATTCTCATATAAGTACGTGATAATTTAGTCACTAAAATCCATCCAACCCAACGACAAAGAATAAAAAAACCCAGCACAGGGGGGTCGCGGCACAGTGGTGACGTGGTATAGATGGATCAAGTATAATGATATCTGACAGTGATTAAAATCACTATAAAAAAAAAACGCTTCGATGCAAATCTTTAGATAGTGTTTAATTTTAAAAAATTGGTGGATTATTCCAAAAGCTACATGATCTGCTAGTTCATTATTAATATCCTAATTAAGATAAAGTATGTAGAATGAAAAAGGGATTATTAAAAAATATTATTTCTCATAAAAAAATAATGTTGATCCATACACTTTTCAATATGTCATAGCATTATAAAGTCAAAAATGTAAAAAATAAAATCGAGAATTTTCACACAATAATAGNGTAAAACATAAAATCGAGAATTTTCACACAATAATAGCATTCGGTAGCCATTTTCACCGTGAAGATAAAATAAAGTCCGAAATTTTTTTTTCGCATAATAAAGTAAATTACATTAGCTTTAATTTAAGATATATATAAAAGTGTCAGACCTTCAGGAACATTTTCAAAAGTTAAGTTGAAAAAGTTAATTTTTTGTGAAAAAGTTGTCATATTAAATCATTCCCTGTGGGCAGGTTAAGGGTTAAATTTATGAAAAAAATATACCAAATGAAAGGTAATGCATATTATATAGATGCAATATTATGCATCTATATAAAAAAGAATTATATTGATTTGGTTATTTTTGAAAAAGTTATGGCACTTTTAAGTAAAAAAAATTGAAAAAATTTCGAAAATTAGCGATTTTTAAATTTGTAATTTTTTTGGAGGTTTCCCCCATTTACGGGGAACGAGGGAATTTTTTTCGATTTTTGAGGGTAATGTCTTCGACTAGATACGATTTGTGATCTTTTGACGTATCATTGAAAGAAATCGGTTCGGTGAGAGCTGAGAAAAAGTGGTAACAGACACAAAAAAAAAAAAAAAAAAAAAAAAAAAAAAACACATCTTAGTAAAACCAATACCTTCTCAGCTTCGTATCGAAGCTAAAAGAATTTTTAAGGTTTTCAATATTTTAAAACACTCAAGATTTAGAGTAAAATCATTAAACTCGATGATATCACGCATGTATTTAATTGTATAACTTTATGTTCGTTGTGAACTTCACTTGTAATTACAAGTGGTAAGAATAAAAAAGAAATTTTTCTGTACTAACAAAAAAATTCATATATATTTTAAGATTATTTATGATCTACTCAGTCAGAAAAACCATACTTCTAGATCAATCAATTTTTATTCGATAGTACTACTCTATTTTTAGGACAGTTCGGATATCTGTCAGAAATATTTTATTTATATGATCAAAATTTTGAAAATAATATATATTTATGTAAAATATTATTAAATATTTAGGGAGTTTATTAAAAACTTCTTTGGACATAATTTTAGACATTTAGGACCTTCTAGGCTCGAGATATTAGCCTTAAAAGTCCCAAAATAGCTTTTTTTAGCATGTTAAAATTAACAATTTTTATTGTTTTTAGTAACTTTTCTAGAAATAATTTTTTTTTCATTAATAAACGTAATAAAAAATTTGCAATTAAAAAAAAAATATGAATAATATGATTAATAGAAAACTGAATCCAGTAACATAGTTCTACTTCTTTTTTTTGGCTTTGACCATTTAAGACCATACTTCTCAACAAACATACTGTCATGTAATTCTATCTTTTAATATTTTCTTCCACTGAATATATGATTTCATAATTTCTACATCTATCCTAATACAATCTTACCATCATAATTGTGGTCTTCTAAGTGATTTTTTCTCTACTATTTTTCCTTAATAACTTTTTTTACCACTGAAACCTGTTTCCTTCAGCTTGTCCTGATCAAACTACATCCTCTTCTTCTTGATGTCTTTCGTTATAGTTTGAAGCTGGAATAGAGATTGTAGTTCATTATTGTGTCTAAAAATCTTTTCAAGTCCATATAAAAATTATTCGCTTATTGTTGTCTCATTGATATTTCTGCTATTTGTTTTAATGGATATTATAACCCAATAATGACATTTATGTCATTCACTTATAATCAACTCTAGGTATTTGAATTGGTCTACCCTTTTAAATCTGTACTCATAAACTTCCATGATTTTTTTCTATTTTCTATTTCATTGATTCCTATTTTTGTGTCTGACTATAATGTACTCTGATATTTCTTCATTAGTCCTAAGTTCTACTTTCCTAGCAGTCTTTATATTAGTAAGTGATTTTCCAATTTTTATTATCATCTCTCTATTTCTTGCTAATAGAGGGATATAATCTGCATAAATCAGGATATTAATTGTCGATCGACTAAACAATCTCCTTCACATTAATTAATTTTTCTATCTTTCTCGAGCACTAAGTTAAGTATCAATAATATAGGGGAAACCTTGTCTTAAACCTATCGCCACTTTCACTAATTACGATATAATATTTTCTAGCTTTTCTCTAATTGTTGTTCTACTTATAATTGCCTCTACAAGGGTAAATAGCATGTTTGACTTTTTTAATGAAAATATGTATATATACACATTTATTTTGAATTTTCAAATTTTTGAAGGATTATACTAATTAAAAAAAATTGATCTATTTAGTCTAAAACTTCTTGGGTCTTCCCCTAGGATTCCTTCGTGTTACATAGTAATAATTGTAAGTCCGGGTCTCAAACTTAGGTACATAAGATAAAGGACGGGTACGGTAAGGAGTCGGAAATATATCCGTATACGAAAGTGTCGAGATACGAACAGAATGATAATAATGTGACCGTCAGTTACATACTTAACCCAAGTTGTGGTGGATTTCGTGCTCTCTGTGTTGTAAAAGGATATGTAGCCAACCACTGGTTGTTGTTTCGATAGGTCTGATGAAAAGAAAGAGAGAGACTTGAGTGAATGCCCATTTAATGGTACCGCATCTTGTTATTTTAAAAAAAGAACTTATAAAATAATAAAACAATGATTTTTATACTATTTTAAATTAAAATAATTAATAATATTTTCTTATATATAATAAATTATTTTATAAGGCAAAATTAATGTAATTTTTATTTATTACAAATATACATGCATGTATAAATAAATAAACTTGTATATAATATATCTTTAAATTAATATTAAGTTGATTCATAAATTTATAATTAGTTTATTAACACATCTATGCATATATAAGTTATTAAAAAAATGTCTAGTAAAACCTGTTACTCTAACAAATTTTAGGACTATTGAACAATTATTTCATTACAATAAAATTAAATAGCATAAAATAAAAATAGGCTAAAAAAACTATTTTTGTCTTATGAAGGTGAATAAATCAAGCCTATCAGTTCCTAAATATCTGAAATTGTGCCTAAGAGAGTTTTTAAAGACCTTTCATAATATTTCACATGAGTATACATTAATTTTCAAAATTTTAATCAAAGTATGAAAACAAAATTTTCTGTCTGACATTCGAACTATTCTCTAAATTTAGTAGTTCTCCCAAATAGGAACGGATTCGATTTGAGATAAGTAAATAATCCTTAAATATATATGGATATATTTTTTAGCTTAGAAAAACTTTTTTTCTTTCTAGCTACTTGTATAATAGGATTCGAGACTATTTCAAATATGATAAAATTATTCTTACGCAACGAAAGGATGTATTTACTTAACATATGATATACAATAACACCGAAGTATTTTCCTGTGTTGCCATTTGACATTTTTTATGACAGATTATGAGTTTAGTTTTTTTTTGGGTAGTTCAAACATTTATAATATTACACTCGTTTAAATAAAATAAACATAAAGGTAAAATTATTTAAATTATTATTTCTTCGAAATATTATTAATAAAGAATTTTATTAAATAATTAACGTTTCTATTTACTAGATTGTTTTATAAACCATTAACTTATTTAAGTTTAAGGTAGATAAATTTATAGTATCCAAAATATAATTAGAATTATTTTTAGTCTTCAAATTATTTTTAAATCGCAAAAAAAAAAAAAGATGATCAGTTATAGCATTGATGAAATTATAATAAATGAGATTTAGAAAATGTATTGTAGCTAAAATATCAATTTTTGAAAGCGATTTATTTAAATTAATATTTGGCGTACACGCAGGGCATAAAATAAGGTTCGATTGATATTTTTTAAGGGCATCATTAAATTTACCATCCTTATACTATTAACTAAATATCATACCTAGGTTTGCGAAATCTTGAAAATTCTGTACAAACAGTGTGAGCTGCAGCTGCAATATTTTGATGTAAAGGGGAACTAGAAACCGAAGCCGGACTGCTGTCTCGTTTTGAAATTGTTAAGTGTTGAGAAGAAGTGGTAGCTGTCGGTGGTGCGTATCGTACAAAATCACCCAAGTTACATACTCCACTAGCTGTAATTGAGAAACTTCGTAATCGATACTCTTCTAATACAGGTCCATCTGGTCTAGGTACATGACCAAAACTAGGCTATAAATAAATATATGTATTACATTATAATTTATTTTAAAGATAGAATTTTTTTAGTAACTATGTTGGACAAAAATTTTGTTGTTTTGTAAAGTTACACTTAATGATTTTCACGCATCATATGATTTGAAAATATTTGTTATTTAGTAAAATTTTTATTAAAAAAACCGAGTACATTGGGGACGTGGCATAGTTGGGTCAAGTATAATGATATCTGACAGTGATTAAAATCACTATCATAAAAAACTATTCAAAGCAAATCTGTAGATAGTGTTTAATTTTAAAAATTGGTGGATTATTTTAAAAGCTATATGATCTCATATTTCCTTATTTATATCTTGATAACAAGTTTTATGATTTATAAATGTAATATATGAAAGTAAGTATGTCAAATGAAAGAGGTATACAAATAGTAGTTATCATAAAAAATTATAATGATCCATACATTTTTCAAAAAGTTAGAGCGTTCTTCTTTTTCCTTGCCTTAATTCCAATTACTTGGGATCGGAAAAATACGCTTAAGTTTTGTTTAGGACTACTCATACTTTTTGACAAATTTTTTTTTTTTTTCATAATAAAGTATATTACGTAAGTTTTAATTTAAAGTATATATAAAAGCGTCAGTTTTTCCGGAACATTTTCAAAGTTAATTTGAAATAGTTGTCATTTTAAATCTTCCTCTGTGGGCAGGTAAAATGTCAGATTTATAAAAAATATATACCAAATGATAGTTAGACTTCATGCATCTATAAAAATAAAAATTATATTGATTTGATAATTTTTAAAAAAGTTTTGGCAGTTTTAATTAAAACAAATTGAAAAAATGTTGAAAATTAACGATTTTTAAATTTGTAATTTTTTTGGAGATTTCCCCCATTTACGGGGAACGAGGGGAATTTTATCAATTTTTAAGGGCAATGTCTTCGACTAGATACGATTTGTGATCTTTTGACGTATCGTTGAAAGAAATCGGTCCAATGAGAGCTGTAAAAAAGTGGTAACAGACACAAAAAAAAAACACATCATGGTAAAATTAATACCTTCTCAGCTTCGCATTGAAGCTAAAAAATCAATACATTTTACTAAGAATGATTTTTTAATTACATTCATAGTCACTTATACTAAATAAAATTGTAATAGCAGGAAAATTTAGAATATTATGATGAGATAATTTAAAAAATATGTATAATAACAAACTTGCGCTTACCAGGTGATTAAGGAGTTCAAAGAATAAGAGTAACCGAAAGTGAAAAATTTGCATTTTAAGTCAAAATGCCACCGTAATATCGTACCAAAATTATGATATAATGACTTTCAAATAAACTGAAATTAATCAACTTTAAATTTTTAAGGCGGGCAATTTGCTTTGCATAAGAGTAGCTAAATAGATCGGTACACAGGGTTGTAATAAATGTAAATAATTTTTTTTAAATAATGTGTCGCCTCTTTTACAAGGAAAATCCGAAATTTATATTTCAAAATAATAATATTAAATAGATTTGAGCCTCAATATTAAAATTTTAAAGCTTTAAAATTAATCTTAGTCATGATTTATGTCTTATAAAATTAGAATACGTCTATTATAATACGTTTTACATTTTACATTTAATTTTGTTAAGTGCACTATTATAACAACTATTTATTTATTTACATTTAAGAGAAAGTTTATATTAATACTGAATATAGTTAATTACCTTGAGATTTATTTAGTTAATTTAGTTAATTAACGTTACGTTTTTATAGTTGAATTTTAATTAGAATCGTTTCAACTGTATTACATTTTAGAATCAATCGGTCTATTTGAAAAATGGTAGTGATTTTTTATTTATAATGTTTAAGATAAAATTTTGGCATTTATTAAAAAAATTTACTATATTTAGCAAGATTAATACGCTAAATTAAATTTTTTAATAAATAATGACATAAAACTTTACATGGAATTTCTATAAAATAATATTTTCATTATTAAATTTTTAATTGTATCCTGACTTGTAGCTGCAGATGTTTTGTATACATTGATATATATATATATATATATATTGAATATTAAAATTCAGTAATTTAGTTTTTATCCAACAATGAAAATCAAAAAGGTCAGTCGATCTTATTTCTAATTGACTCTTTAACTACTCAATCGATATTAAAAAAAATATAAAGTTAGAATAAACTTTAATTTACTATAGAGTTATTTTTTCCTATATAGTTTAATTTATAAACAAATTTTTAGTTCTACCTTGTTCTCTTGATCTTTAAAATTAATCATCAAAATTTTTTTAAAAGGCAACACAAATCAAACTGCCCTACATAATCGAAAATAATCTAATTTTTAACATAACAATTTTGAATCGGTATTTTGAAAGTTATTACCTTTTTAAAATATAGACTAGGAGAGAAGTACGGGAGTAGGTTGAATTCCCTATATTCCGTCATAATATATTTAAGGAATATTTTGATTCGTAGAAAAATACTCTTACATTAGCTTATTTTGGTAGAATAGTTTTTGATTGAACATCATAATTGTTGTTATTACTTATATTTTTTTTATAATTATTAAAATGTCTAAAATAATCATTGTAAATCAAATTACTTTAGTAGTTCCAGAATTTTGAAAATTGTAGTATACATATTTCTGACATTTCTCTTAAATTTTTTATTAAAAAATTTTTTATTAAATTTGTAATGGATTATTAGCTTCGATGCGAAGCTGAGAAGGTATTTATTCTACTATGATGTGTTTTTTTTATTTATTAATTTTTTTTTTTTTTTTGTCTGTTACCACTTTTTCTCAGCTCTCACCAAACCGATGTCTTTCAACAATACGTCAAAAAATCACAAATCGTATCTAGTCGAAGACATTACCCATGTATTCCGTAAATGGGGGAAACCTCCAAAAAAATTACAAATTTAAAAATCTCTAATTTTCGAAATTTTTTCAATTTGTTTTAATTAACACTGCCCTAAATTTTATAAAAATTATCAAATCAATATAATTTATTTTTTAGATGCATAATATCTTTACCTATCATTTGACATATTTTTTTTTTATAAATTTGACCCTTTACCTGCCCACAGAGGGGGATTCAATATGCCTTTTTTACAAAAAATTAACTTTTTCAACTTAACTTTTGAAAGTGTTCCGGAAACTCTGACACTTTTATATATATATTAAATTAAAGCTAATGTAATATAATTTATCATGGAAAAAATAATTTCAGACTTTATTTTGTTTTCATGGTGAAAATAGTTACCAAATGTTATTTTTGTGTGAAAATTATCGATTTAAAATTTTACATTTTTAACTTTATAATGCTATAACTTATTGAAAAGTGTATCTATCAATACAATTTTTTATGAGAAATAATATTTATATCCCTCTTTCATTCGACATACTTTTTTTTAAATAACATCATTTCCCTTAATATATTTATATATTATTAATATATATAGATATTTCTTTATTCATATATTACACTTATAAATCATAAAACTTGTAATCAAGATATAAATAAGGAAATAGGAGATCATATAGTTTTTAAAATAATCCACCAATTTTTTAAAACTAAGCACTATCTACAGATTTGCATCGAATAGTTTTTTATGATAATGATTTTAATTACTGTCAGATATCATTATACTTGATCCAATTATGCCACATCCCCTGTGCATAACTGTGCTGGGTTTTTTTAACATACTTCTAACAAGTTTTCTAATAATTAGAAAACTTGTGTCTTATTAGAAAACTAATTATTAGTTTTAACGAAATATAATAAATTATTAAAATATATTGTTAATATATAGAACATAACGATGAACCTTATCGAGCTAGGTTATATAAACTGTAAACATTGGATAGAGATTTATAAATATTTAAATTTAGATTTTATTTATCAAATCAAAATGAAAATTTATTTTTTGGTAAAATTTTGAATATAATTGCACACGTTTGAAAATCGCATAAATAATTGAGGTTATTTGCAGAAGTTGAAACTGAAGCTTTGTTTTAATATTAATGTATTAAGAGGGTAAAAGTGCTATAATCTTTAACCATAAATATACAATTTAAAGCTTAAACTCTGAAATTCAAATGGTCGTTCATAAATCAATAAGAAAATAATTAAATGAGTTTTCTCTTGATGCATTATTATTAATTTATAAAATGCCAATAGAAATATGTTAAGGAGTATAAACAGCAATGTATAATAAGTCAATAGAGTTTATTTACTTAAACCCTATAAGCCTTTCAGTTTGATTTTTATTTGCATTGAATTTGCAAAATTATAAATTAAAAGGTTACACTAAAATAATAAGTGTTACAAAATTATGAAAATGTTAACATTTCAATTAGACCATGGATAAATTTGAAATTAAATTATTATTTTAAACACACACACATATATGTACTTCATAAAGTTTAAGTTAAATATGCCATTTAATTATTTAGTCGCTTAATTATTCTTGTTGAATATTCTTTAAATATGTGTTAAATTTAATAATATATATATATATATATAATTAAAATAATACTAATTTAGAAGCAAAAAAAGGTTACCTATTAATCTTTTGGGATATTTGCGCAACATTGTTACTTTAATTAATTATGACATAATCTAAATCTAAAACTAAAATGTCAAGTATAGCTTATGATATTAAACTTTTTATTGCATTTTGTTTATGATAGCTTCTCTTTTACTTGTTTTCCATTGTTTTAATGTTTTATTTAATGTTATATTAAATAATAATGGTCCACCAATTTAATTAATAGATGATATAAATAATTAAATAAAGATATCTAGCAAGATTCATTAAAAACAAATTTTATGCTAAATTATTAAGTAAACATACATTTTCTTACTATGATCAAGAATTCACGTAAGTATTTGAAGTTATAATACTTTGTGATACAAGGTCTAACAACTTCGTAACTTAATTAAAAGTTTGTAAACAGGACAATAAGTTATAAGTAGGTAATTTGGATATTCTAATTTTTTAAAATAAATTTA